TCATCAGGGTAGAGCTGCTGCCGTGATAGATACAGCTGTAGGGGGTGCAAGTTGAGTTGGGATACACGTAGCATGTGGGTTACAGGTTGTGTATGCCTGAGTATCTAACTCACACTAAAATGTCTTGGCTGTATGCATGTGGTGGCTGGAATCCCTTGGCATTGTAGAAGCAAAGTTCAGAGCCAGAAAGTAAGGGAACGCAAAATTATGAAAAAAAGAAGAAATGATCTATGGAAAACTAATTGTTACAGATGTTCTTTGATCCTTGAAAATCATAAAAATAGTCTTGGGGAAAAAAGAAAAAAAGAAAAAAGCTGGTTTGGACTAACGGGCTTAAAGCAGGTCAGAAAAAGACTCGTGTAAATACTAAGGACAGAGAACTTTCTAAAAAGTAAGCAGCTAATCAGCAGTATTTAAGCTGTAGGGAAAAATATTACTGTGCTTTGACTAATTATAGAAATATTTATAAGGCCCCATTCATTCATTCATTCATGCATTCATTCATGCATTCATTCAGCCTGGCCCCATCCACCCCTTGGCCAGGCTGGGCTGCTCCAGGAGGCAGATGATGTGGCAGGGTGAGCAGGTGGAAGTGTGAGCAAAATTGTTTTAGAGGCAGAATGTTCTTGTTTCACAGTATTGCATATATGCAAGCCTGCATTCAAGATGGAAGAAAGGGGCCTAGAATTTCAAAGAGATATGATGCAAAGTGGACAATGAGGGTCATTGCAAAAACTGTCCTTCTTTAGGGAACAAAACTTGCCTCCTTTTGAGTTTAATGACAGTCCTGCTATTGATTTGTGCGTGCCCTATCTATTCATTTTTCTGCCTCCCTGATTTTTTTTTTTTTTCCACTTTTGCTCAGATTAATGACTTGCTTCATTCCTTAACTTTATCCTCTCTTCCCAAAAAGTGTTGTCACTTAAACTGGCTTAGCATAGCTACTCTATTTATTCTATAACACCCCGAGTTTTACATTTCAGTTGAAAAATTCACTATCACTATAATCACCAGGAAGAAGAAATAGTTGCTTTAAACTTGTACAGAAGTAAGATCACTTCTGAAGAAGTAAGATCTCAATCCTGTCAGTCCTCCAACTGAGAGTGTGACAAATGGATGTCACAAAAGGAGAAAAAACACAATCATCTAGGAAATGTAAGGGTTAATGAAAGGTAATATGTCACTTCATGGCAATAGTAACACTTTTCTGATCATACAAAACAGGGACAGTCAGCAGTATGCTAGGGTTGCATTCAGGATGCAGTACTCCAGATGTGGTCTCACCAATGCAGAGCAGAGGGGCAGGATCATCTACCTTGACCTGCTGACCACCATTCTTTTGGTGCAGTCCAGGACAGGAGTGGCTTTCTGGGCTGTGAGGGTACACACTGCTAGTTCGTGTCCACTTGCTATTTACTAGTATCCCTATGCCCATTGTGGCAGGGCTGTTCTCTGTCCTTACATCCTTCAACTTGTACTGATACAAGGGGTTGGTTGCCATTACCCATGCGCAGTAGCTTGCACTTGGATTTTTTGAACCTCATGAGCTTTCTCCTTGTCCCACTGACAAAGCTGTCTAAGTCTCTCTGAGTGGCATCCCATCCCTCAGTCATCTTGACCTTATCACATAGCTTGTTGTCATCCACAAACTTGATGAGAATGTACTTGATCCCACTGTCAATGTCACTGCTGAAGATATTAAAGAGCATTGGTCCCACTACTGACCCCTGAGGAGCACCACTTGTTACTTTCTCTAGCCAGACATTGAGCCCATGACCACCACTCTCAAGGTATGACTAGACTAAACTTTGTTCATCAGTCCACCTTTCAAATCCACACATTTTGAATTTGAAAAGAAGGATATGATGGGGACTACGTCCAAGTCTCTACTGACATTAAGATAGATGACATCAAGCATTTTCCTCATCCGCTCATGTAGTTATGCCATCATGAAATGCACTAGTTCTCTTTTCAAAATTAGTTCTTTTTTGTAACACTGAACAGTATAAATTGTATTTTCTTTACGTAGCAGTAGCTAATAGCTTTTACCTGAAATGAGCGTGTTTCTGAAGAAACAAAAATTGGATATGCTACTTTTGAACATTTTCTATTTTTTCTTTGTCAAATCCTAACCATTTTAAATGCATAGGTTTTCTTCAGTTTTGTTTATTTTGCTTGCTAAGTCAGGGCTTGAAACCGTGATTGAGCACCTAGTAGTAAGGCAGGGCCAAGCCAGGGGAGCTCAAGTGTATGCAGTGCACATGAATGACCAGTATGGGTATTGACAGGATCTTCCTCTTCCCAGACCTCATTTAAGTGTTGGCAGTGGAGCTGAGGGTATCTCATCTGGAGATCCCTGCATAGCTGAGGCCTTCCAAGGATAAGCAGGTTTTTTTTCCTTATTTCTGTCTCCATGACTGCTCTGTTTAGCAAGTTTTCACTCACTGCAGCCTGGGGTCTTGCTACTCTGCTATCACTGTCGTGCTTTTCATTGTGTTACAACCACTAATTTAAGTGACTTGCTAAAACTCACAGGGCAAGGACAGTATTTAAGTGAGCCAGGAGATATTTGGCCTTGTATTTCATCTTCTTCTTCTTACAAAGTACCCTTGTGTGAGGAAGTTTGTGTGAGGAACATTTGTTTTGTGGAAGCTGATTCAGGAGAACTCAATTTTTAACATTCCAAAGGGAAATCTCTCTGGAGTTATGACTACAAGCAGGCAAGCAAGAACTGAATCTAATGTAGAAGTTTAGGACCATATGAAAAGACAGCTACATTAGTGAACTGGACTGCCTGCATGAGTATGCTCCCTGGGATTCAACAAAATCTAAAGTTGCACTTTATTTCTTTGATTACCATTCACTCACTACTTCAAAATCTCAATTTTAATTCTATACAAATTTTCATTTTTCTGCTCTATGTGCAGATTTCCAGAAGAGTGCAATGCAACCAGCAACAGGTTTTGCAAGAATGGGATTTATTTATTTCTTTGATCCATAGTCCAACAATAATTTTTGTTTTGTCACAGCCAATTTTCCTTTCTCTTAATAATCTACTTGCACCTTGGAGGCATTTGTTAGAGGTAAACCCTATGGTTATCACTACACAGCCAGTAAACATAGTAGCTGGCACTCCAATTTTCATCACAAAGGGAACATTAAACATGTCCACACGGCAAATTAGAACCCCCACCCCCCTGTAGTACCGGATATAGTGATCCTGCCCCAGATATCAGGACAAAGGATGTTGTACCAAAGGCCAGGACATGCCCCAGCACAAGTGGAGGTGTTTGACTCAAGACAAAAACACAGCCTGTATCCTACCACTGAAGGCAGGCCCACCACTCCTCATACCTTGTAAACATCTGTACTACTCCCCTTGAGGCTGTGAAGTCCACAGGACCACTGGTAGGAGCATCAACACTTCAGCGTGCTTCAGTATCTGTGAGGGTATGTCATGACACCAGGTGGTGGAGTGCTGAAGTTCTGGGAACCAGTGAACCCAAACCTGAACTGAAGAAGATAAGCCTCCAGAAGCAACATCAAGTACTGTTCCAACACAACCATAAGAAGACCGCCAACAATCACCTTGCAACAATCACCTGTCAATCAAATCATTGATAAGTACTGTACCGGCATCACGATACACGTTGTACTTCATGTTTCCAAAACAGCAGGAGTTTACCCCTGACCTACTCAATCTTTGGTTCAGGCTGTGACCTAGCAACTCTGCTGCACTCCATCCCTTCACAGCCTGAACCAATGATTGAACATTAGTTGAGAGGTCAAGGCTATCCCAGGGAGCTCAGGTGCAAGCAATGATTGGAAAAGGTGCTTTTATTTAAGTGTTAGCAGCAGAGGGAGCAGTATCTCTCTGAGTTTGCTCTTCTTTTGAGTTGTTACTAGTTTCTGGAAGGGGTGAGCTAATTTTTCTTCATTACCTGCTGCTATGGTTCTTGTAGGTTATGTATGGTTACCTGTTAGGTATGGTCATATGGTCTTGTATGGTTACCTGCTATGGCGCTTCTATCCCATTAGAAAGCACTGTCATGACATTCTTTTGCCATGTGACTTAGTTTAAAATATTTCCTTAAGGTGACAGCCTTTTCTCAGTTCTGTTGCTTTATTTGTCAGTGCTGCTCTGCAAACCTTGCTGTGACTCCGGGCTAGGCCTGGCCACTCATCAGGGTAGAGCTGCTGCCGTGATAGATACAGCTGTAGGGGGTGCAAGTTGAGTTGGGATACACGTAGCATGTGGGTTACAGGTTGTGTATGCCTGAGTATCTAACTCACACTAAAATGTCTTGGCTGTATGCATGTGGTGGCTGGAATCCCTTGGCATTGTAGAAGCAAAGTTCAGAGCCAGAAAGTAAGGGAACGCAAAATTATGAAAAAAAGAAGAAATGATCTATGGAAAACTAATTGTTACAGATGTTCTTTGATCCTTGAAAATCATAAAAATAGTCTTGGGGAAAAAAGAAAAAAAGAAAAAAGCTGGTTTGGACTAACGGGCTTAAAGCAGGTCAGAAAAAGACTCGTGTAAATACTAAGGACAGAGAACTTTCTAAAAAGTAAGCAGCTAATCAGCAGTATTTAAGCTGTAGGGAAAAATATTACTGTGCTTTGACTAATTATAGAAATATTTATAAGGCCCCATTCATTCATTCATTCATGCATTCATTCATGCATTCATTCAGCCTGGCCCCATCCACCCCTTGGCCAGGCTGGGCTGCTCCAGGAGGCAGATGATGTGGCAGGGTGAGCAGGTGGAAGTGTGAGCAAAATTGTTTTAGAGGCAGAATGTTCTTGTTTCACAGTATTGCATATATGCAAGCCTGCATTCAAGATGGAAGAAAGGGGCCTAGAATTTCAAAGAGATATGATGCAAAGTGGACAATGAGGGTCATTGCAAAAACTGTCCTTCTTTAGGGAACAAAACTTGCCTCCTTTTGAGTTTAATGACAGTCCTGCTATTGATTTGTGCGTGCCCTATCTATTCATTTTTCTGCCTCCCTGATTTTTTTTTTTTTCCACTTTTGCTCAGATTAATGACTTGCTTCATTCCTTAACTTTATCCTCTCTTCCCAAAAAGTGTTGTCACTTAAACTGGCTTAGCATAGCTACTCTATTTATTCTATAACACCCCGAGTTTTACATTTCAGTTGAAAAATTCACTATCACTATAATCACCAGGAAGAAGAAATAGTTGCTTTAAACTTGTACAGAAGTAAGATCACTTCTGAAGAAGTAAGATCTCAATCCTGTCAGTCCTCCAACTGAGAGTGTGACAAATGGATGTCACAAAAGGAGAAAAAACACAATCATCTAGGAAATGTAAGGGTTAATGAAAGGTAATATGTCACTTCATGGCAATAGTAACACTTTTCTGATCATACAAAACAGGGACAGTCAGCAGTATGCTAGGGTTGCATTCAGGATGCAGTACTCCAGATGTGGTCTCACCAATGCAGAGCAGAGGGGCAGGATCATCTACCTTGACCTGCTGACCACCATTCTTTTGGTGCAGTCCAGGACAGGAGTGGCTTTCTGGGCTGTGAGGGTACACACTGCTAGTTCGTGTCCACTTGCTATTTACTAGTATCCCTATGCCCATTGTGGCAGGGCTGTTCTCTGTCCTTACATCCTTCAACTTGTACTGATACAAGGGGTTGGTTGCCATTACCCATGCGCAGTAGCTTGCACTTGGATTTTTTGAACCTCATGAGCTTTCTCCTTGTCCCACTGACAAAGCTGTCTAAGTCTCTCTGAGTGGCATCCCATCCCTCAGTCATCTTGACCTTATCACATAGCTTGTTGTCATCCACAAACTTGATGAGAATGTACTTGATCCCACTGTCAATGTCACTGCTGAAGATATTAAAGAGCATTGGTCCCACTACTGACCCCTGAGGAGCACCACTTGTTACTTTCTCTAGCCAGACATTGAGCCCATGACCACCACTCTCAAGGTATGACTAGACTAAACTTTGTTCATCAGTCCACCTTTCAAATCCACACATTTTGAATTTGAAAAGAAGGATATGATGGGGACTACGTCCAAGTCTCTACTGACATTAAGATAGATGACATCAAGCATTTTCCTCATCCGCTCATGTAGTTATGCCATCATGAAATGCACTAGTTCTCTTTTCAAAATTAGTTCTTTTTTGTAACACTGAACAGTATAAATTGTATTTTCTTTACGTAGCAGTAGCTAATAGCTTTTACCTGAAATGAGCGTGTTTCTGAAGAAACAAAAATTGGATATGCTACTTTTGAACATTTTCTATTTTTTCTTTGTCAAATCCTAACCATTTTAAATGCATAGGTTTTCTTCAGTTTTGTTTATTTTGCTTGCTAAGTCAGGGCTTGAAACCGTGATTGAGCACCTAGTAGTAAGGCAGGGCCAAGCCAGGGGAGCTCAAGTGTATGCAGTGCACATGAATGACCAGTATGGGTATTGACAGGATCTTCCTCTTCCCAGACCTCATTTAAGTGTTGGCAGTGGAGCTGAGGGTATCTCATCTGGAGATCCCTGCATAGCTGAGGCCTTCCAAGGATAAGCAGGTTTTTTTTCCTTATTTCTGTCTCCATGACTGCTCTGTTTAGCAAGTTTTCACTCACTGCAGCCTGGGGTCTTGCTACTCTGCTATCACTGTCGTGCTTTTCATTGTGTTACAACCACTAATTTAAGTGACTTGCTAAAACTCACAGGGCAAGGACAGTATTTAAGTGAGCCAGGAGATATTTGGCCTTGTATTTCATCTTCTTCTTCTTACAAAGTACCCTTGTGTGAGGAAGTTTGTGTGAGGAACATTTGTTTTGTGGAAGCTGATTCAGGAGAACTCAATTTTTAACATTCCAAAGGGAAATCTCTCTGGAGTTATGACTACAAGCAGGCAAGCAAGAACTGAATCTAATGTAGAAGTTTAGGACCATATGAAAAGACAGCTACATTAGTGAACTGGACTGCCTGCATGAGTATGCTCCCTGGGATTCAACAAAATCTAAAGTTGCACTTTATTTCTTTGATTACCATTCACTCACTACTTCAAAATCTCAATTTTAATTCTATACAAATTTTCATTTTTCTGCTCTATGTGCAGATTTCCAGAAGAGTGCAATGCAACCAGCAACAGGTTTTGCAAGAATGGGATTTATTTATTTCTTTGATCCATAGTCCAACAATAATTTTTGTTTTGTCACAGCCAATTTTCCTTTCTCTTAATAATCTACTTGCACCTTGGAGGCATTTGTTAGAGGTAAACCCTATGGTTATCACTACACAGCCAGTAAACATAGTAGCTGGCACTCCAATTTTCATCACAAAGGGAACATTAAACATGTCCACACGGCAAATTAGAACCCCCACCCCCCTGTAGTACCGGATATAGTGATCCTGCCCCAGATATCAGGACAAAGGATGTTGTACCAAAGGCCAGGACATGCCCCAGCACAAGTGGAGGTGTTTGACTCAAGACAAAAACACAGCCTGTATCCTACCACTGAAGGCAGGCCCACCACTCCTCATACCTTGTAAACATCTGTACTACTCCCCTTGAGGCTGTGAAGTCCACAGGACCACTGGTAGGAGCATCAACACTTCAGTGTGCTTCAGTATCTGTGAGGGTATGTCATGACACCAGGTGGTGGAGTGCTGAAGTTCTGGGAACCAGTGAACCCAAACCTGAACTGAAGAAGATAAGCCTCCAGAAGCAACATCAAGTACTGTTCCAACACAACCATAAGAAGACCGCCAACAATCACCTTGCAACAATCACCTGTCAATCAAATCATTGATAAGTACTGTACCGGCATCACGATACACGTTGTACTTCATGTTTCCAAAACAGCAGGAGTTTACCCCTGACCTACTCAATCTTTGGTTCAGGCTGTGACCTAGCAACTCTGCTGCACTCCATCCCTTCACAGCCTGAACCAATGATTGAACATTAGTTGAGAGGTCAAGGCTATCCCAGGGAGCTCAGGTGCAAGCAATGATTGGAAAAGGTGCTTTTATTTAAGTGTTAGCAGCAGAGGGAGCAGTATCTCTCTGAGTTTGCTCTTCTTTTGAGTTGTTACTAGTTTCTGGAAGGGGTGAGCTAATTTTTCTTCATTACCTGCTGCTATGGTTCTTGTAGGTTATGTATGGTTACCTGTTAGGTATGGTCATATGGTCTTGTATGGTTACCTGCTATGGCGCTTCTATCCCATTAGAAAGCACTGTCATGACATTCTTTTGCCATGTGACTTAGTTTAAAATATTTCCTTAAGGTGACAGCCTTTTCTCAGTTCTGTTGCTTTATTTGTCAGTGCTGCTCTGCAAACCTTGCTGTGACTCCGGGCTAGGCCTGGCCACTCATCAGGGTAGAGCTGCTGCCGTGATAGATACAGCTGTAGGGGGTGCAAGTTGAGTTGGGATACACGTAGCATGTGGGTTACAGGTTGTGTATGCCTGAGTATCTAACTCACACTAAAATGTCTTGGCTGTATGCATGTGGTGGCTGGAATCCCTTGGCATTGTAGAAGCAAAGTTCAGAGCCAGAAAGTAAGGGAACGCAAAATTATGAAAAAAAGAAGAAATGATCTATGGAAAACTAATTGTTACAGATGTTCTTTGATCCTTGAAAATCATAAAAATAGTCTTGGGGAAAAAAGAAAAAAAGAAAAAAGCTGGTTTGGACTAACGGGCTTAAAGCAGGTCAGAAAAAGACTCGTGTAAATACTAAGGACAGAGAACTTTCTAAAAAGTAAGCAGCTAATCAGCAGTATTTAAGCTGTAGGGAAAAATATTACTGTGCTTTGCCTAATTATAGAAATATTTATAAGGCCCCATTCATTCATTCATTCATGCATTCATTCATGCATTCATTCAGCCTGGCCCCATCCACCCCTTGGCCAGGCTGGGCTGCTCCAGGAGGCAGATGATGTGGCAGGGTGAGCAGGTGGAAGTGTGAGCAAAATTGTTTTAGAGGCAGAATGTTCTTGTTTCACAGTATTGCATATATGCAAGCCTGCATTCAAGATGGAAGAAAGGGGCCTAGAATTTCAAAGAGATATGATGCAAAGTGGACAATGAGGGTCATTGCAAAAACTGTCCTTCTTTAGGGAACAAAACTTGCCTCCTTTTGAGTTTAATGACAGTCCTGCTATTGATTTGTGCGTGCCCTATCTATTCATTTTTCTGCCTCCCTGATTTATTTTTTTTTCCACTTTTGCTCAGATTAATGACTTGCTTCATTCCTTAACTTTATCCTCTCTTCCCAAAAAGTGTTGTCACTTAAACTGGCTTAGCATAGCTACTCTATTTATTCTATAACACCCCGAGTTTTACATTTCAGTTGAAAAATTCACTATCACTATAATCACCAGGAAGAAGAAATAGTTGCTTTAAACTTGTACAGAAGTAAGATCACTTCTGAAGAAGTAAGATCTCAATCCTGTCAGTCCTCCAACTGAGAGTGTGACAAATGGATGTCACAAAAGGAGAAAAAACACAATCATCTAGGAAATGTAAGGGTTAATGAAAGGTAATATGTCACTTCATGGCAATAGTAACACTTTTCTGATCATACAAAACAGGGACAGTCAGCAGTATGCTAGGGTTGCATTCAGGATGCAGTACTCCAGATGTGGTCTCACCAATGCAGAGCAGAGGGGCAGGATCATCTACCTTGACCTGCTGACCACCATTCTTTTGGTGCAGTCCAGGACAGGAGTGGCTTTCTGGGCTGTGAGGGTACACACTGCTAGTTCGTGTCCACTTGCTATTTACTAGTATCCCTATGCCCATTGTGGCAGGGCTGTTCTCTGTCCTTACATCCTTCAACTTGTACTGATACAAGGGGTTGGTTGCCATTACCCATGCGCAGTAGCTTGCACTTGGATTTTTTGAACCTCATGAGCTTTCTCCTTGTCCCACTGACAAAGCTGTCTAAGTCTCTCTGAGTGGCATCCCATCCCTCAGTCATCTTGACCTTATCACATAGCTTGTTGTCATCCACAAACTTGATGAGAATGTACTTGATCCCACTGTCAATGTCACTGCTGAAGATATTAAAGAGCATTGGTCCCACTACTGACCCCTGAGGAGCACCACTTGTTACTTTCTCTAGCCAGACATTGAGCCCATGACCACCACTCTCAAGGTATGACTAGACTAAACTTTGTTCATCAGTCCACCTTTCAAATCCACACATTTTGAATTTGAAAAGAAGGATATGATGGGGACTACGTCCAAGTCTCTACTGACATTAAGATAGATGACATCAAGCATTTTCCTCATCCGCTCATGTAGTTATGCCATCATGAAATGCACTAGTTCTCTTTTCAAAATTAGTTCTTTTTTGTAACACTGAACAGTATAAATTGTATTTTCTTTACGTAGCAGTAGCTAATAGCTTTTACCTGAAATGAGCGTGTTTCTGAAGAAACAAAAATTGGATATGCTACTTTTGAACATTTTCTATTTTTTCTTTGTCAAATCCTAACCATTTTAAATGCATAGGTTTTCTTCAGTTTTGTTTATTTTGCTTGCTAAGTCAGGGCTTGAAACCGTGATTGAGCACCTAGTAGTAAGGCAGGGCCAAGCCAGGGGAGCTCAAGTGTATGCAGTGCACATGAATGACCAGTATGGGTATTGACAGGATCTTCCTCTTCCCAGACCTCATTTAAGTGTTGGCAGTGGAGCTGAGGGTATCTCATCTGGAGATCCCTGCATAGCTGAGGCCTTCCAAGGATAAGCAGGTTTTTTTTCCTTATTTCTGTCTCCATGACTGCTCTGTTTAGCAAGTTTTCACTCACTGCAGCCTGGGGTCTTGCTACTCTGCTATCACTGTCGTGCTTTTCATTGTGTTACAACCACTAATTTAAGTGACTTGCTAAAACTCACAGGGCAAGGACAGTATTTAAGTGAGCCAGGAGATATTTGGCCTTGTATTTCATCTTCTTCTTCTTACAAAGTACCCTTGTGTGAGGAAGTTTGTGTGAGGAACATTTGTTTTGTGGAAGCTGATTCAGGAGAACTCAATTTTTAACATTCCAAAGGGAAATCTCTCTGGAGTTATGACTACAAGCAGGCAAGCAAGAACTGAATCTAATGTAGAAGTTTAGGACCATATGAAAAGACAGCTACATTAGTGAACTGGACTGCCTGCATGAGTATGCTCCCTGGGATTCAACAAAATCTAAAGTTGCACTTTATTTCTTTGATTACCATTCACTCACTACTTCAAAATCTCAATTTTAATTCTATACAAATTTTCATTTTTCTGCTCTATGTGCAGATTTCCAGAAGAGTGCAATGCAACCAGCAACAGGTTTTGCAAGAATGGGATTTATTTATTTCTTTGATCCATAGTCCAACAATAATTTTTGTTTTGTCACAGCCAATTTTCCTTTCTCTTAATAATCTACTTGCACCTTGGAGGCATTTGTTAGAGGTAAACCCTATGGTTATCACTACACAGCCAGTAAACATAGTAGCTGGCACTCCAATTTTCATCACAAAGGGAACATTAAACATGTCCACACGGCAAATTAGAACCCCCACCCCCCTGTAGTACCGGATATAGTGATCCTGCCCCAGATATCAGGACAAAGGATGTTGTACCAAAGGCCAGGACATGCCCCAGCACAAGTGGAGGTGTTTGACTCAAGACAAAAACACAGCCTGTATCCTACCACTGAAGGCAGGCCCACCACTCCTCATACCTTGTAAACATCTGTACTACTCCCCTTGAGGCTGTGAAGTCCACAGGACCACTGGTAGGAGCATCAACACTTCAGCGTGCTTCAGTATCTGTGAGGGTATGTCATGACACCAGGTGGTGGAGTGCTGAAGTTCTGGGAACCAGTGAACCCAAACCTGAACTGAAGAAGATAAGCCTCCAGAAGCAACATCAAGTACTGTTCCAACACAACCATAAGAAGACCGCCAACAATCACCTTGCAACAATCACCTGTCAATCAAATCATTGATAAGTACTGTACCGGCATCACGATACACGTTGTACTTCATGTTTCCAAAACAGCAGGAGTTTACCCCTGACCTACTCAATCTTTGGTTCAGGCTGTGACCTAGCAACTCTGCTGCACTCCATCCCTTCCCAGCCTGAACCAATGATTGAACATTAGTTGAGAGGTCAAGGCTATCCCAGGGAGCTCAGGTGCAAGCAATGATTGGAAAAGGTGCTTTTATTTAAGTGTTAGCAGCAGAGGGAGCAGTATCTCTCTGAGTTTGCTCTTCTTTTGAGTTGTTACTAGTTTCTGGAAGGGGTGAGCTAATTTTTCTTCATTACCTGCTGCTATGGTTCTTGTAGGTTATGTATGGTTACCTGTTAGGTATGGTCATATGGTCTTGTATGGTTACCTGCTATGGCGCTTATATCCCATTAGAAAGCACTGTCATGACATTCTTTTGCCATGTGACTTAGTTTAAAATATTTCCTTAAGGTGACAGCCTTTTCTCAGTTCTGTTGCTTTATTTGTCAGTGCTGCTCTGCAAACCTTGCTGTGACTCCGGGCTAGGCCTGGCCACTCATCAGGGTAGAGCTGCTGCCGTGATAGATACAGCTGTAGGGGGTGCAAGTTGAGTTGGGATACACGTAGCATGTGGGTTACAGGTTGTGTATGCCTGAGTATCTAACTCACACTAAAATGTCTTGGCTGTATGCATGTGGTGGCTGGAATCCCTTGGCATTGTAGAAGCAAAGTTCAGAGCCAGAAAGTAAGGGAACGCAAAATTATGAAAAAAAGAAGAAATGATCTATGGAAAACTAATTGTTACAGATGTTCTTTGATCCTTGAAAATCATAAAAATAGTCTTGGGGAAAAAAGAAAAAAAGAAAAAAGCTGGTTTGGACTAACGGGCTTAAAGCAGGTCAGAAAAAGACTCGTGTAAATACTAAGGACAGAGAACTTTCTAAAAAGTAAGCAGCTAATCAGCAGTATTTAAGCTGTAGGGAAAAATATTACTGTGCTTTGCCTAATTATAGAAATATTTATAAGGCCCCATTCATTCATTCATTCATGCATTCATTCATGCATTCATTCAGCCTGGCCCCATCCACCCCTTGGCCAGGCTGGGCTGCTCCAGGAGGCAGATGATGTGGCAGGGTGAGCAGGTGGAAGTGTGAGCAAAATTGTTTTAGAGGCAGAATGTTCTTGTTTCACAGTATTGCATATATGCAAGCCTGCATTCAAGATGGAAGAAAGGGGCCTAGAATTTCAAAGAGATATGATGCAAAGTGGACAATGAGGGTCATTGCAAAAACTGTCCTTCTTTAGGGAACAAAACTTGCCTCCTTTTGAGTTTAATGACAGTCCTGCTATTGATTTGTGCGTGCCCTATCTATTCATTTTTCTGCCTCCCTGATTTTTTTTTTTTTTCCACTTTTGCTCAGATTAATGACTTGCTTCATTCCTTAACTTTATCCTCTCTTCCCAAAAAGTGTTGTCACTTAAACTGGCTTAGCATAGCTACTCTATTTATTCTATAACACCCCGAGTTTTACATTTCAGTTGAAAAATTCACTATCACTATAATCACCAGGAAGAAGAAATAGTTGCTTTAAACTTGTACAGAAGTAAGATCACTTCTGAAGAAGTAAGATCTCAATCCTGTCAGTCCTCCAACTGAGAGTGTGACAAATGGATGTCACAAAAGGAGAAAAAACACAATCATCTAGGAAATGTAAGGGTTAATGAAAGGTAATATGTCACTTCATGGCAATAGTAACACTTTTCTGATCATACAAAACAGGGACAGTCAGCAGTATGCTAGGGTTGCATTCAGGATGCAGTACTCCAGATGTGGTCTCACCAATGCAGAGCAGAGGGGCAGGATCATCTACCTTGACCTGCTGACCACCATTCTTTTGGTGCAGTCCAGGACAGGAGTGGCTTTCTGGGCTGTGAGGGTACACACTGCTAGTTCGTGTCCACTTGCTATTTACTAGTATCCCTATGCCCATTGTGGCAGGGCTGTTCTCTGTCCTTACATCCTTCAACTTGTACTGATACAAGGGGTTGGTTGCCATTACCCATGCGCAGTAGCTTGCACTTGGATTTTTTGAACCTCATGAGCTTTCTCCTTGTTGCCGAACAGGGTCGGCAGGGGCCCCTCGGCCCCTGCGAAACCATGACAACAAATGGCCTGAAGATAAGAAGGAAGAACAAGATAAACCAAATAAGGAGGAAACAGGACATTCCACATGTCCATTGGCCAGGAGACGACCCTGAGGCATTCCACCCTCGGGTAGTTGCTAATAGTAACTAGATAGGGAAGTTGTACGTGGAGTCAGAGGGGCGTAGACGAAGTTGTACAAGGCTATATAAGTTTCTGTTGTGATCAAATAAACGCCATTTTACCATACATCACATTGGTGTGCACCGAGGTAAATGGACAGACCGATGAGTCCCTAACGATTGCGAACACCTGTATGAGGTCTTTCGCAGGCGAAAGGCTTCATCTGGTGACCCCGACGTGATCGTTAGGGAATAGTGGTCGGCCACAGGCGGCGTGGCGTTCCTGCTCTCTTCCGTCTCCCTTGGGGAAGGAGACGATGACCCTAGTAGAGGGGGCTGCGGCTTAGGAGAGTGGAAGCTGGGTAGCGTCGGAGGGGGCTCTGCGGCCGGGAGCCCATTCAACCTGCCGAGGACCCAGAAACCATAGGAAGAGGTGCCTGGTGGTTGTGTGATCCGTGGGAGAAGACGTCCGGCGGAGTGACTATGGAGGCCGTCATAAAGGTGATTTCGTCCGCGTGTAAGACCCATTGCGGGAAAAATTCTCCTTCTAAGAAGGAAATAGGGGCAATGTTGTCTCTTTTACAAAAGGAGGGACTGCTAACATCTCCCTCAGA